CATCTGTAAGAGAAAAGAGCAGTGGTCAGAGGACGGGCTGGTGCAGACGGCCCAGGACCTTTGCCCCCTGGCGGCCCCGCCCAGACCCCCGAGGGCTTCATCAGGCTGCTGAGCCCTCTCCCCGCCCATCTGTACTCCGGTGGGGGACAGGGACAGATGCCCTTGGTAGGGCTCCTCACGCCCTAACGCACTCCCCGCCCTCAGGCGGGGCGGAGGGCGTGGGCTCACCCAGTGTGTTTCAGGCAGACTCAGGAGCTGAACCCACGACCGGCCACGTGGCCATCGGCCCTCTGGGTCAGCAGCTGCCACGTGTCCCTGGGGCCACTCTCCACTGAGACCCGTCAGCTGAGAGACATGGGCACAGGGTGCTGGACGGGGGGACCACGTCCTGGCGGGAACCGGATGTCCGCATGCGTTTATGTGCAGGTCTGAGTCTGAAATTAGGTGTGTGCCTTTAACACGCGTGTTTGGCGACACACAGTAAATAAATACGGGCACATGTCGGTCAACGGGCTAGCCCAGATGTAAAGGGCTGCACCGATAAACCACCCCGCCTCGCACGTGCTGGGGTTAGGCTGCAGGAGAGGGAGGCCGAGAGAATGACCACGCTGACACTTGTGGGAACGGCGCGCCTGGACAGGCCCCAACACTTGCGGGAACAGCGTAGCCCGGCAAGAGGCCCCGACACTCATGGTGCCTATGTTCCCTCACCAGGCTGTCACCTGGCTTGGGTGAGACCAGGCACGACAGTGGGCGTGTGGCCCGTGTGATCTGGCCACACAAAGAGAACCCAATTGCAGTGACCATGGCTCCAGTTCTAGGGAACCCCTCCCCGCCTTGGTTCTGGGAGCCCTTAAGCACGACCAGGGGCCATCCAGCTTTGCTCTTTGTGTTTCCTGTCCCTGTGGGTGACGGGACTTGGTTTTTCTTCACACCAGTTTCTAGAGCTTGGTGAACCTGGCAGTCCTGTGACTGCCCGGACCGGGACAGTGCTGTCTTCGAGAGAGCAACCGCAGGATACGGGACACGTCCTGCCGACTTGCCAAGTGTCTGTGCTCACCGCCTGGGACACAGACAGGATGAGGCCAGACAAGGGGCGTGGAGACGGGGAGGGTCCCGTGTGTGCCCAGCAGGAGCTCTAGGCCCGCGTCACCGCCCGCTGCTGTGCAGGTGGTGAGGGCCTCGCCCTGGCGCTGCCGAACCACCGGGAGATGTCCCGGGGCTGCAGACCCTTCCCCGAGGGTGGAAGTCGGCAGTGGTGGGAACAGGAAACGGGCTGTTTATAGGAAGGGCTGGTCCACTCTGACATCGTGGCACGCCGCGACCACCGCCCGGCTGAGCATGCCAAGGCCAGGAGCCCAGCGCGACCCGGACGCGACAGAGCAGATGCCAGGCCCTGCACGGAGGCGGAGTCTGGGCCCAGCACTGTACCTACGCATCAGTGTCGGGGCTCCTGGCTGCTCGTGGGGCTCCGGGGTCACCCAGCAGCCCTCCGTACACGCTCTCACGCAGCCGGCTGCAGGCACGGAGACCACGCCTGGCCACCCCAGGGTCTCCCCGAGGAGCAGGGCTGGTGGGATGGGCAGGAGGCTGAGCGCAGTTCGCAGTTCCAGGGCAGGGCTGGCGTGTGAGTGCCAGACTCAGCTCCGAGGCCAGGTCCGTGCAAAGCTGAGGGACGCTCAGAGCACCGTGGCTTCCTCATCGCCGGGGCATGCACCGCCTGACCTGCCGACAAGCCCCGAGGGTGGTGGCAGCATGGCCTAGGGGCTCAGCCGGCTTTTCTCAGAGGAAGATCGAAGTGCTTCCTAAGTCGGGCATCCCGGTGACAAGATGCATCTGAATGGCACGGGGGACCGTCTGGCGAGCACCTGGCCTGCGTGGGACCCTCGAGCAGCTCGGCAGACACCGCCCCACTGGTCCGTCTCCCCAGGGCGCACTTCCAAGGGCCCTGAGGGCGGACCCGGCTCGACGCGTGGCTCTCCCCTTCCCCGTGAGTTTGACCTCACGTTGGCGTTGCTTTAAAGGCCCACCGTGAAGTGACCTTGTCCTCAACATCAGGCCTCTTCGGGAACGCCCAGGGCCACCCTGGAAAGCCAGGCACAGTGGAGGGTGTGTTTAGGTGCCAGCGAGGCCGGCATGCTTGGCGCTGTTTCAGCCAGCTGGCAAGTCGTCACCATCCGTGACTCACGTTCCTGTCTCAGGGGCTGTCGTGGGAGCCCTGGGACAGCAACACCCGGGTCCGAGCATTCTCTAAGGCAGACCTTCCACATGAGCGGCCGGGGACCCTCACACTGCTGGGGCCAGGGCTGGGGCCGGGCCGGGCGGGGCTTCCCTGAGGGCTGCGCCTCCTCTCAAGGTGCCTCCTCGCCACAGCTGCGGTGAAGCCAGAGCAAGGCTAGACATCCACAGGCCTTCCTGCCCCGCCCGGCAGACGCGCCTGCAGCCGAGCAGCCCTCACGGCCGAGGCTGGCACGTTTCTCTCCATCGTTGCCAGGGTGGGGGCCATCTTGGGGGACCCGAGGCCTTGCTGTTAGTGCAGCGTGGCCTAGAACGCGCCTGGGCGCCAGCACGTCTGCGGAGCAAGCAGAGGCTCATCCACCCGCGGTATCCGGAGGCTGGCCCTTCCTCGGACTCCTGGGCACGCCCTCCCCGTCGCCACAGGGATCATCCTCCCCTCACTCGAGGTGGGCCCCTCGGTGCCACTGCTGGTGACACGCAGTGGCCATCGGCTGAGGTCACCTGTCAGCACTGGGATGTGGCCACAGCTTCCCCACCCCGGAGGTCTGCCACCGCTGGAGGTGCCATGTCTGTCTCCGTTTCCGATAGGTTTGCAGAGGTCGTTTATGCTGGAGGCCACGCCTGTTCTTAACGAGGTGCTGGAGGCCGGGGAACCCCGGGGATGGCTCCTTGGCTCCTGGAGGGTGGGGCTTTGATAGTGGAGACTCTGGCACCAGGACGCACTCCACACGGCATCAAAACCACGAGCACCTTCCCCGACATCGGGTCCTGTGCCTGCCGCCCGCATGCCCATCAAGGTGGGGCCACTGACGCCAGCATCACGACCCTGACCCAGCCGAGGTGAAGGAGCCACTAGTGCCTGACTCGAGACTTGGAGAAGACAGGAGACATGTCTCTGGGCCTGGGGCCTTGCAGACAGCAGCGCCTCAAAGCTGAACGGGCGAGCGTCCCCAGAAGTCGGGCCTCATAGACTTCTCCATAGCCTCCGTCCTGGTAAGTCAGCTCGCCGGGATTCTGCTCCCAATTCAAGCTCTGGGGAACACTCGCCAAACCACAAGCATTGGAAGGAAGCCGTGAGCGTCAGCTTCTCGGCCCACAAGGCCATGCTGCGTCTGGGAATGGGGCCAGCTGGGCCCGCACCCAGAAGCCACTTACATCCGTGTGCCCTGGCTGCTCTGTGCCAGGACGCACAGCCCTCGGCAGAGCCGTCAGCAGTCCTGACTGCCACACACGAGGCAGTGGCGACAGTGGCCGATGGCCAGGGCGTCTCAGGTCTGAGGTGGGGTTCCAACCTGGTTCCCAAATCACCCCTAAGGTCTCCCTGGAGCAACCCCGCAGGACAACCCTGCCCGCTGGGTGAAGGGCCGAGGCCACAGCAGTCCCCGGCTGAGGCTGTCTGGGGGTACGCTAACTCACCTAGGGGCAGCCCCGTGGAAGAGGCACCCTCCAGGCCGGGCTGCTGCCTGATGCCAGAGCTGCCCTGGCGCACTGACGTCGGGGGACTGCTCCAAGCAGGTGCACTGGCAGCCACGCTGCCACATGACCAGGAGGGAAGGGTCTGCCCAGAGGTCAGGACGTCGAGGCCAGTCACCAGGGTGAGCTCTAGCCTGAGGCGAAAGGCGTCCTGTGAAGAGGAACACCTGGACAGCCAGCGGCAGACGGGGGGACCGTGTGGTGACGATAGCGGCCACCGCAAGGCTCAGGAGAGAGGCCTCTGGAGGGGCCGGGTCTGCGGCTCCACGCCTGTCTGGGGCTTTGCTACGACACTGGTGGCTCCGGCCTTTGGGCGACCGACGTGCTTCTGCCACCCACTCCTGCCTGTGTCCTCATCTCGCACGTGGGGAGGCCAGCCTCGGCCAGCGGCCGCCCGGCTAGCTAAAGCCGTGTGGACACGTGTCCTTCAGCCTCTCAAGGGCACTGGGCACATGGCACCCAGGGCCACATGAAGCCCCTGGCAGGTGTCATTGGCAGGCAGGACACCACAGTGGCCCCGGTGTTTGCTCGGAAGGCAGGGGTTGGGGAGAGGCAGCATCCGTTGGCGGGGTTCTGCAGCACAGCCAAGGCAGGCCCAGGGCACGGGCTCGGGCGCCTGTCTGTCCCCAGGCCGTCGGCGTGACTCCCTGAGGGCCACTGTCAACAATGGATCTGCATGGCCCGGCCAGAAACCGGGGAGCGCGGTCCCCTCTGGGCTGCCACTCCTGCCTCAGAGCCCAGGATAAAAAGCCTGGCCCTGCCTGGGGACATCCAGGCCTGTCCTGGGCTGAGGGGCAGAGCTGGCCGCTGGCCAGGGGCCTGCCATCTGAGGGGCGCACAGAAGTGACCGCTGGCCCTTCAGAGAGGTGTCTGAGAATGACTCTCGCCTCCGTCCGGCGCCCACCTGTGCCAGCAGGCTCCTGGAAAGGAGAGGAACATTTCGCAGGAAACTGCCAATAAGCCTGGCAGGGCCCGAAGCATCCGGGCCTTGTGCAGATGCCGGACATGTGAGGACCACTGCCCACTCGGCTCCACCAGGAGCGGGCACATGCTGCAGGGAGGGGCTGGCTTTACCGTCCCCACAGAGCAGAGGGCGCTGGCTTCTGCTGCCAGGTGACTGGAAGGCAGCTCTCGTGGACAAGGAGAGCACGCGAGAAGGTGGCAGGCCCTCCGGCCTGGGAGGCAGGTACAGCGGGGATGCAGGGGGGCAGTCTGGGCAGAGATGGGGAGCCCCTTCCCGAGGGCCGGTGCTGTGGCCTGTGCCTCTGAGGGTGGCCCAGAAGCTCCCTGGCGACCCCTGCACCCAAGCCCTCCTCCCATTGGAGCAAAGCACAGGGTGGGGGGAGCACAAGGCCTGGCCGGGTGCTCGAGAGGTCGGTACCCCAGGTCTCCAAAAGCAGAGTGAGGCCACGCTGCTCATCCGCCATGGGTCTGTGGGCACCATGACTTTGGGCATCTCCACACTGAAGTGGCACGGAGATGTCTCAGGGTCACGTTCTGCAGCCGTGGCCAGGGTGGCTGCATGTGGAGGACACAGACAGGCAGGGCCAGCAGGCTGTGCCCACTGCCTCTCCACTCGGGCACGCGTGTCCTGAAGCTTCAGCTAAACGTGTCTCCAGCCCAGCTCCTCCGCCACCATACCGGCCACTGGCCACCCCTGGGGTGGGAAGGCTACTGTCAGCCCTGGGGGCCCTCGGAGGCCGGGGGAGTGGCCCTGCTCTTACCAGCATCTGGAGGCCAGACAGCGCTGACCGCCTTGCAAGCAGCCCTGGAGGGTCGCGCTGTCCCCACCCCCCCGCTTCTCCGTTTGCACAAGCAGGGACTCCCGTGATGACCCAGGGCTGCGGTCGGACCAGGATGTGCTCGGGCACAGGTGCCCCCCAGCCCCTCTCCCCTGGCCGTTTGAGTGGCATGTCACTGACGGCAGGGCGAGCATGCGGCTGTCGTGGCAGCGTGTTATGCCACCACGCCCGGCAGGGACCTGGGCCACAGTGGAGACTCTGGCCTCACAATCCCGATTTCACAGGCCACACGGCTATGGGGGCTGCAGACATGGGCCCTAACTGCGACCTCACCATCGACTGGGCTGGTCACTGTCCCTCAGGGGGGCTGGAATGAGGAGAGCAGAGGGGACGAGGCGGAGAAGGGGCGGGGGAGGAGTAAGAAGAAGGGGCAGGACCAGGGAGGGGCCGGGGGGAGAGGCCGGGAGGGCAGCACCCACGCCTGTCCTGTTGCACGTGATTTTGTCACTGACTTGAAGACACGCGAACCGTGTGTATACACGAGCAGATGGCAGAGAGCGGGGGTGACACGGGAGTCAGGATCCGGATCGTGATTCTGCACGAGAATCGGTTTGCTAGAGATGAGCGTGAAGTCCGATTCTTCCGTTAAAACCAACGCAGGCCTCTCTGCGGCAAGGCCGGCCCCACAGGAGGACCTGGACGCGGGTGGACTGGCTCAGCCTGAGCCTGCTGGACGGGGCTGTGGGTCGACTCGACACCGGCAGCCAGGACCGAACCAGGGAAGCATGCCTGGGGCTCCAGCCTTCTGGGGGATTGACCGCGACGCTCCGGGCACAGAGAACTAGGGCGAGCCTCGCTGTGGGCTGGCCAGATCCGGGGTCAGGCTCCCTCACCTCCCCGAGAGCCCTCCTAGCCTGAGGCTCTGCTAGGGAGGCCAAAAGGAGGGTGGCAGGCGGTGTGGACAGCTGCGCTGCACCAGGACCACGGAGTCTCGGCCTGGCTTCGGGAGAGGAGGCAGCAGCTGCCTCGCTCCCACACTAGGGTGCAGGGCATGGGGGCGGGGGCCGCCGCTGCCGGCCGGGGAGGGGGTCAGAC